ACTGCTGAAGCTATGGGATGGCTGGAAGGCCCCAAGGCTCCCTGGGCCATTGTCTCCACTTAGATTCCAATGCTGACTGACCTGTTGTCAGGTGGGAAGAGAAAACAGGTGTGCCATGTTAAAGAAAAATTGTGAAATGACACTTGCTAAAGCACAGCTGGGGAGGCCCGATGGGACCTTGGAGATGACTATTGTAAGGACCACTGCAATGGGGTCCTGCAGAGAGGAAGCTCAACTCCAAACACAGCATGGCCAGGTGGGAATTCATAGCCCAGGAGCAGAGTGGGCGTCAGTGGATGGAAAGCCATTAACAGCAGGGTAAGTGGGATTCCAGCTAAACAGACCTCACAAGATTCTGCTGCAGACAGTCCAAGGTGATTAGAGGTCATCTGGGGCGTGGTGGAGGAAGAAGAAACTGATGAGATATCCAGGAAGATCAGATATCAAGAATTAGATATCAAGGCAACATAGCAGGTTTCCTTGCTAAAACTGTATATTAGAAGAAAGTGCACAGAGAGTAGAGCTGATGAGTTGGGCCACAGAGAATCTTGATCACCATGCAGAAAGTCCACTGCCTGGACAGGGCTGGGCTCCACCTTTCTGCCCCGCCAGCATTCAGAGGACACTTCACCCTGTGCCTACTGGGTGTGGCATGACCTCCTTTGCTATTTCTAGTAGGCAAAAGCCCTACATCTTCCCCAGGGTACATCCACTGTCAGACTTGTAAACTTAAATCAGGCAAAAATGGTTCAGGGAAAATCTCAGATAATGACAATGTGAGGCTCATTCTAAAACACAGATAAAACATACTCTTAGAATAACAAGCTGCAAGAAGGAAGTAGAGCAATGTCACTAAGCATTTCCATTTCCTTGTGGGCTCATCAAAATCCAAAACCAAGGAAATCTTCCCAAAATAAGCTCTGGAAGTGGTCTTCATTTTCTCCCCGTGGCCTGCCTCCCCTCCACACTGTGCATTTCAGTGGCTGCTGCCTCCATATCCTGGTGTCATGGTCCTCACATCAGAGCTGAGGCTGTGGTCCCAAGCACCCCTCTCCACTTTACCCTCCAATCTGTAGGATCCACTGGGGACCTGGCTTCTACTTTGCAGAGCTCATGCTGCATCTGAATAAGGAATGTGGTCTTTCTCCAGGGTCACTGCCAAGATGGCAGGTGCACTAACCCGGGAGAGGGCAGGTGGAGCACAGCTGCCATCAGAGGAAGCAGCCAACCCTTCTTCTCATGCATTTTGTTTTCACAGGGTTCTCTGCTGAGATGTTTCCTTCTGCAGGAGGAGAGTCAGGTGGTGGCAGGAGGCCCAGGTCAGATCTGAGGAGGAGAAGCCCTGGCTTCCAGAGGCCGTTTATGGACCACAGACTGGGATGAGGGTGAGGACTGTGGGGTGGGGAATAGCACCCAAATCCCTGCTGCCTCCTGCACCTGGATGCTTGGCTACAATTTCACTCCAACACATCTGCCATGTTCTGTGCCCATGCTCTGTGAACGCAAAAGAGCTGTGGTTGTTTCACATTGAACTTGGAAGGCTGAGCCTCAGAGGAGCCGTCAGGATGGATGGGTGGATCCTAAGGAAAAGCTCACGCCAAGCCAAGGAAAGGGCTATGAGCACAAAGTGACTGATTCTTGGTGGCTGATTCTTTTCCCTACTCAATCTATTGGTGATGCCTTAACCTTTCAAGAAAAGGAACACACACACACACACACATTCACACTGAAGTTAGTTCTGGGTGTCCCGTCATCAGGACACCATATCAAATTTGTCTGTTCCTTAAAACGCAAAACTTCTTGAGACTGGGTAAAGGATCAAATCTGCTTCACTAATGAGAAAAATCAAAGTCTTCTGAACCCAAGAGGACACACTTTCACAGTCCTATGCATTTTATGTAAGGGCTAGGAAGCTTGGAAATGTGTATTTTATGAAAGGTAGAAGTGAGCTTTGTTCACATAACTAAAATGTGTCCTTTTAATTAATAGTAGCCATCAAAGTCATTTTGCTATGACATTGGGGTAGAAGAGTAGAAAGGGAACCCAGTGGTTAGAACCACCTTCATGTAATGCATAGCTTAAGAAATCTTGCAGGGGTAGAAATGACCCAAACCTTGTATGCACATATGAATAATAAAAGAAAAAAAAAAGAAATCTTGCAGACATAGCCACTGGGATGATTTGAGGCTCTAATGCGTTCCACTTTCTTGCTTCTGTAGCCTTCTCCCCTTTTGCCCCTGCACTTGGGCATGTCTTGGTTTAATTGTAGGGCTGGATACACTTGGCATAAAAGTGTACCCATGGTTTTTCCAATGCATTCCTGTCACCTTTCAAGAAAAAAAGAGGCTGCTGTTCAGAGCAGCTGTCACACAGCCTGCCAGGCTCAAGGCGTGGGATGGATTCAGCCACAGGGCTTCCAGCCCAAGGGCGACTGTAAAACCTCTACTTAGAACTGAAGTAGATCTCTTGAATGATTGTGTTGAGGTCTATGCTGCATTTCAAAAAGCAGACAATAAAAGAACCTCTCCCACTCCCTAGCCCCTGGATGTGGAAAAAAGGGCTTTTATTGCTTCAAAGACCTTGAAATGCAATTTGCATAAACTGATTTTCAAAACTTTTTAAGGGGAGTGACAAGATTATCTCCTGGGGAAAGTGCTAGGAAAAGCAAATGTCCACATGCAGAAGAATCAAGTTTAACCTTATGTTTCATTATGCACAGAAATCACTCAGATGAGTCAAATACCGGCCTACGCTTAAAAGCTAAGACTGTAAAACCAGTAGAAGAAAACACAGGGGCAAATCCATGGCATGAGATTTTATATTAATTTTCAAATCTAATATCACAAAGGTGACAGAAGAAAAATAGACAATTCAGATATCACAATGCAAAACTTTTGTACATTTGATGGTTTTGTGACACAATGAAAAACGAATGCACAGAATGGGGGAAACTATCTGGAAATCGCATAACTAACGAGGAATTAAAGCCCGGGAAGCACAAAGAGCTTCCCGCACTCACCACCACAATCAGCAAAAACAGGACAGTTGACTGTGTACAAAGGAACAGATATTCTTGTCATGAATATGAAAATAATAGGTTCCATAGCACTGATCCTAAAGAAAGCAGAATTACAAAGAGACACCAGTTCACACACATTAGGAATTCGGATGGCTACAGGAGGGAGGGAGGGAGGAGAAAGAAGGAGAGAGAGAAAGAAAAAAACAGAGAGGGAAGGAAGGAAGAAAGGAAGAGAGGGAAGAAAGAATAAAAGGAAGGAGAAAGAGACAAACGTAGCTAGGCTGACTAGAAATGGGACCCTTTGTGCACTGTTGGGGCTAATTAATATAAAAAGGTGTATTCACTGCAGGAAATGCAGACAAAATTAGACACACAATAACAGCCACAACTCCGCTTTGGAGCACGCATGGAAAAGAATCAAGAGCAGAGATGAGAGTGGGTATTTGGACACCTATGTTGATGGCAAGCGACAGTGCTAACTGTACCCAAATGTGGGACAACCCAATTGCCTACCAAACGAGGAACAAAGTACGGTATCCACGTACGACACAATATCATTCAGCCTTAGTGACAAAGGGCATTTGGAACACACTGCATCGTGGGTGAAGCTTGCTGACCTTATACCAGGTGAAATGTCCACACAAGGACAAGTACTGCTTGACTCCACGCCGTACCTAGAGGAGTTGTGTCAGTCTGTTTTGTGCGGCTGTTTCAGAAGGCCACCGATTGGGTCATTCACAATGGGCAGAAATGGATTGCTTGGCGATCAGGAGGCTGAGAGTTCACTATCAATGTTGTCACCACCTGCCCAGGGCCTTCTGCTTGGTCACACATGGCGGAGGGCATCCTGAGGCAGAAGAGCAAAAAGAGGTGAGCCCCAGAAACACAAGGACAAGGTGAACTCATTCAATAAGGAACCCACTCCCCAAATAGCCATCCACCCTGCGACAGGTTGGGTTCCAGCTGCCTCCTGCTCAAGGTCTCAGAGGACACACAGATCCCACCCTGCGACCCGGGCAGCCAATCGCTGTTAAGTAGATGGGGAGGGAGGCAGGGCAGCTAGCTGGTTTGAGGCCTTAAAGCCTGAGTCCACAAAGCAAAGCCAGATGCTTGCAGGACAGCCATCTTTGAAGAGCTGCGTCTTGGGAGTGCACCTGCACCTGCTGAGTGCACCTGAACGGCTGCAGCCACCTCAGGTGAGCAGACCACCAAGGTATGATGGGAACAGGGAATGGAGGAGGGGACCCCTACAGGGACATGGTCAGCCAGGCAGATGCAGAAACAAGAGCATTCGTCCTAGCTAGCACTGGCAATTGGGGCCAGTGGAAGAGGGAGGCCGGGGAGCCCAGGGTGACGCCATGACCACACAGAGGCTCCTGGGTTGTGCAATTCAGTCTGGGACATGGTCTGGCCAGGTGAGATAAGAAAGCTGTGTGGCTACAAGCCAGGATCTGACGCCCAGCTCTCCGACACCACCAGGTAACGTTCTCTTGTCAATCACTACCAGGAAGCTTCCTCTGAACTCTCAGGAATGTGCTGAGGGCAGAACCTGGAGGGTCACTTTTCAGAGTCCCACAAGGGAGACCTGATCCAGACCTGAGTCTGGAGCTCTGGCAGCTACCTGCCCCTGTCCACGTGCTGGCACTGGCAGTTCTGGTTCTTGTCCCTCAGTGGGGCAACAAGTGGGGAGCTGGTGTCTCATATGTGAAATGCTGGAGTGTTGGATGCTGCCCTTCCCAGACTCTCTAGAAGGACATTCCAGAAGGGTTTCCCTCAAGAAGAGGAGGTTCCATGGCATAGCTCATCTCCTGCTGGGTGTTAGGAAAGATGAAGGTGTGAGGTGTTCTCCCAACTTTTGGAGATAACTTTGCTCCTGTGCAGAATCAAATGTCCCAAATTAGCAAGGTGTTCATTGAATGCTTTCCTTGACAGCACTGGTGCCATGGGACTCTCATTTCTTTCCCTTTCTAGGTTGTGAAGCATGAATCCTTTTCTCTTCCTCGCCATCTTTTGCTTGGGGGTGACCTCAGCTGCTCCAACTCTTAATCACACTTTGGATGCACAATGGGAGGAGTGGAAGACAAAACACAACAAAACCTACAGCACGGTAGGACACGTTAAGAGAGTCCAGAGGGACTCCAGAGAGAATGGTCCTTGTTGTTGGGACTTTATAGCCAAGGAGAGGCTTCGAAGGCAGTAACCCAGTGTCACCTGCTGTAAGCACAATGTACACTAATACCCCCATTTTGGGGGTGTAGAGAATGCCTGCCAGTGTGCAAAGCCATCCGTGGCCATCTCTGTCTCCAGGTCCACCTGTTGAACACGAGGGGTTTTAAATAGAAGGAGAGACCATCACTTGTACTGATTTGTAGGATGAAGAAGGACAGAGGCGAGCGGTATGGGAGGAGAACTTGAAAATGATTGAGCTGCACAATGAGGAATGCAGACACGGGAAACACGGCTTCACCATGGAGATGAACGCCTTTGGGGACCTGGTGAGTGGGGTGTGCCCTGGGTCATCCGTGCTTCCGCTCTTCATTTCTTCACAAAGTGATCTCTTGCTTCTAACACGGTTTTTACTCTCCTTGAAGACCACTGAAGAATTCAAGCAGGCGAGGAATGGCTTTCAGAGGCAGAGGCGCAGAATGGTTAGAGTCTTTCAGGAACTGGAGGTAAAAGAAATCCCCAAATCCGTGGACTGGAGAGAGAAAGGCTTTGTGACTCCTGTGAAGAACCAGGTACGACACACGCACCCCTTCCGGGGCCCTGGGGGGAAGAAACCAAGAATAGTGAACATTTACTGTGTCGGGCTTCAGAGTGACAGGCGGGCCACCTTTCTCCCCTTAAAGAATATTCAGACATAAGAGCTTTGTCGACGGCGTGCTGTTGGTTTGTGCACGACAGCCTTTCCTTCCCTTCTCAGGGTAGGTGCAATGCCTGCTGGGCTTTTAGCGCCGTTGGGGCCCTAGAAGGACAGATGTTCAAGAAAACTGGCAAGCTGGTGTCACTGAGCGAGCAGAACCTGGTGGACTGTTCCCGTCCCCAGCGCAACGTGGGCTGCAGGGGTGGCCGGATGGATTTCGCCTTCCGATATGTTCAGCAGAACGGAGGCCTGGACACCGAGGAGTCCTATCCTTACGAGGCCAGGGTAAGTGGAGTCCCTTCCCGGGCTGTCATTCCTGCTCTGGCTGTGGAAGGTGAAGCGACCTCAGAGATAAATAAAAGTCGCCTTGGTCAGGATTTCCCTCCAGATGGGAGAATCCGGACGAGGCCTGAGTGAGTTCAGTCATTGTGAAAGATTGGCTCTGGGGTGACATGGGTGGCACACGGGTGACCTTATTTCTGGGTAACACTGAATGCAATCACACTGATCTGTATTTAATGCATTTCTCCAGTGTGAGAATTCCTGTGGACTGGCCGATCGGATAAGTTTCCTTTGTGACATGTAAACTAAATTTCAGTTCAAGTCAACCCACAGCATGTCACCTCCTGGGCTGATTCATGACAGCACTGACTTGGAGACCCTTGAGTGCAGACTGCCTGCGGAGGGCTGTGATGCCAACCCACGATCCGGGAGGCGGGTGGCTGTCATCGTGTCTTCTTCCCTCTCCAAAGGACGGACCCTGCAGGTACAATCCAGAACACTCTGCTGCCAATGCCACAGGTGAAGTCCACGTTCCTCCCAACGAGGAGGCCCTGGCCAAGGCCGTGGCCACCGTGGGGCCCATCTCTGTTGCCCTCGACGCCAGCCACAATTCCTTCAAGTTCTACAGGGGAGGTGAGCATGTTCTTTGTAGAAACTGAGGCAGAAAAAAGGTGCAAAGGTACAATGACGTGCAAGCATGGCGGGAAGAGAGTTTAGTGCACGGCTTGCACGAAGTCCTTCAACCTGGATATGCAATAACTGGCCCCTCACAGTCATGACATGACTTTGGCATGTCCCCAGATATGCATTTCAGGAATTTCTTAAATAGCAGCATTATTAAGTGTATACCGTATTAGTTAAAATTTCCCTAATTATTCGCTATTTTGCAAATGTCCCAAGAGCTTTTATTTTTATATTTAAGTCTGACAAGAACCTCTGGATTCAAGTAATTCTGCATTCTGTGCTATTTCCTGCAATTCACCTCTTGGCAGTAAAATGACAAGATTTCGAACAGTGCTCTCCCATGCGTCTACCAAGCCTTGTACCAAGATCTAGCCTTGAGAGCCTAGATCTCACAGTCATAAGTCTTACCTGGAGTTTATGTCACTTTGGTGAATTTAGAAATGCCTTCCTTATTGCTCTTATCCGTGGGTCACTGTCAGGTCCCCGAGCCACTCACACAAGCTGTGGTTTTATTTTCTAGGCATTTATTATGAACCAAAGTGCAACCGCTTTGCCCTGGACCATGGTGTCCTGGTCGTTGGCTATGGCTTTGAAGGAGAAGAATCAGAAAACAGAAAATACTGGCTGATCAAGAACAGGTAGACATAAGAAGGGGGATAAGGTAGAAAGGAGAAAAATAGCAAGGATGAACCAATTCAGGTTACAATATAATGTATAATGTATAATATAATATATAATAAATTATATAATATATATTAAATACAATATATAATATATAATAAATAGAAATGAATAGAAATAAATAGAAATGTCACAATGAAACTCCCCGTATAGCTGTCTCAAACAAACAAAAATTTCATTTTTTGAAATAAAAATGGAGAACAGGATGGTAAAACAGGTCCTGTCTGGGGGTTGGTACCAGTGGGAGGGGAAGGACATAAGGAAAGGGTGAATGAGGTGAATATGGTGGAATATTATGCACTCATGAATGAAAATGGAAAATGAGTTGTGCTGAAACTATTCCAGGAATGGGGGGAGGGAGAATAAAGGAGAATGGTGGGGGGTGAATTCAGCTGTGATATATGGTAAGAACTTTGGTAAATGTCACAATGTCCCCAGGACAACAATACTTATAAAAAAGAACAGGTAGAAAATGCCAAAAATATTTACACTGGGAAACGAAAAGGAAAGAGTTGTGTGCAGTCAGTATTTGCACACAGGTCCCAGAAATCTTTGTCCCACTTAGGTTTAACACTGAACTAGGAATGTGCAATTGTATCATTAGAGTTCGTCACGAGCTTCCTCAGGCTATTGATACGGTGTTTGTACTATTGCTTTTCTAAATTTTGAACATTTTCTTTTTTTTGTACCAGATGTGCCTGGAAAAACAGTCTGTCTTCCCACTGTCTTTAATTTTGAAATTCAGTGTAGGGAAATTATTTTAGAATTCGGGGTAGAAGTTATGGGCAGATTAAGACACAACCATTTATAAAGGATGAGGAGAACGTCTGTCTGCCTCTCTGGAGTCTTTCTGCTAAGCGTGTGGCCTCTGTGACAATGTTAAAATCAGGCATTTGCTCTGATGAAACCCAATGTTCTCTATTCTTCCTACTAAATGGAGAATTTGCTCTTCTTTCAGCTGGGGCAAAAACTGGGGCTTAAATGGTTATGCAAAGATAGCCAGAGACCGGGACAATCACTGTGGGATTGCCACCTGGATCAGCTACCCCATCGTGTGAGTTGCTGGATGGTGACAAGGAAGGACTCGATGGGGACGGCATGTCCCGAGGAGGGACGTCACCTTCAGCCTGACCAGAATCTACTGTGTGGGATCCAACTCTAGAACCATGAAGGACAGGAGTTGTCATGTGGATTCTGACATTTTTATACCAGTGCAATGGCACCACTATATAGCTGTCACAAAGAAATTTATATTAATGACTCACATGAATTATTTGTTGACTCATTTGATGAATAAAATTTTAAAGTTCTGAAGGTGAGGCATCTGTGTGTTTTTAACGTTCTGATTGAATGCACGTGTCGTCCGAGCCAATGGTGCACCAGGAGGAAGGGTGGGTGTCTTCTGGGTCCTATAGTCATACATATGTAGATCTCACGTCAGACATGGTGCCCAGTATTTTGACAAAGGATCTATGAGGACAAAGGAGAATCATTTGAATATAGAAAATAATCACATTTTTGAAAAACAAATAGGAAGTTGTATGATTTTGGTACTATGAAAAGGATCGGGTTCATTACACCAAGATGGTTGCAGCCCCATCGAGTCACGGGACCAAAGATGTAGCTCCAGCTTCTGGATGTGGGTGAAGTCCTGGAGGCCATGTCACAGTCAGGGAAGGCCAGGACACTGGTGGGTGACCAAGGCAGACATGGTGTCTGGGTGAAGGCCGGGCTTCAAACATGGTTCCATGGTCTTGGAAAGTGATAGAGAGGTGAGAGTCTGAAGCTGCATTAAACCAAGCTGATGTAAACTTGAATTAGGAAAGAGGAAAGTATACTCTAGAAAACTCCACCTTGCATTGGTACAGAGCACGTAGTTTCATAAACCGTGTGTTTCCAAAGCCTCACGTTCCCACACGAGAAAGCACAGAAAAGAGGGTGGAAATATTTAGCGAACAGACGCCATCATCCCTGCAGAGGGACAGAGGAGGAAACTGGGGCTGTGGACCACAGAGCCTACAGCAGACTCCAGCAAGTCCCTCTGGGTTGGACCATGTGCCAGGCTGGAGTCTCATTCGCCCTTCCCTACTTGTTGACAAAACATCTAAATTAATAAAAGTAACAATAAATGTACCATCGGGGTGATGTTCTTTAGGTTTTGTGCTTGAGTTTGCGCTCTGGTTGGAAGAAGATGTGAGACTCCCCTGATAATTCCCCTTTCCAGGGGTGTTGGACACCAGCTCAAGCTGGTGTCCAGAGCTCCCCCAAGGGGCCTCTCCTTGCCCCCCACAGCCTGAAACTGTGGGACCTGTACACTGTGTAGATATATATCCCAAGTGGGTCAACTTTAGGCAGTGACTTTCATCATACAGGTTTCTCTATTTGACACAAATTTATAGTAGTAATAGTAATAATTTATAGTAGTAATATAGTAGTACCCAGAAACACAGCCCTCTTCTCAGTGTACGTTTAAAGTTTCACAATTCATGTATTTAAATGATTTTTTTTTTCATATATGCATTCGGCAGGTGTCCAGAGGTCACCTTCATGAGGTGGTACTTGCTGGGCCTGAGGACACAAATGTTAATCCGAAAATCCTGGTCCCTCCCTTTGGAGCTGAGCAGCCAGCACTTCCGAGCATAGCAGGAGTCCAGGTGCAGTAGTCATGGGCTCTGAAAGGGGAGCAGAGGACACTGGAGCAAGTGTCAAGGCCACAGTGCCCTCTAGGGCTCACAGAAGGTCTCAACAAGTGCCTTCTGGTCAAATCTCAAGAGTCCTGTGTCATCTGTAGGACCTGAGCTGAGGGGCATGTGTGATTTCAATTTTGAAATAATGAATTTTCATCTTCTTCATGAGTAGTAAGTGTGTTCAGAAGTATTTAGTTCCAGAGCAAACCAAGAATTTATACACCAGAAGGAAGAGGAAGAGGTGAGGGAGAATAAGAGGTCCAAGTTCACAAAGGCAAGTGTCCCATCTGAAAAAGTTTGTTCACAGTGACCGTGCTCAGTCAGTCCATCCACACAGCATGGACAAAGGGACCTGTGCTGGCCAGGTGACCCCAGTGCAGCCATGCAGGTTCAGCACCCAGAACTCCTCTGACAATGGTGGCCTGAGGACTCCAGCTTATTGTTCCCAACCAAAAAAAAAAAAAAGGGAGAGAGCTTTGCTAGGGGCTGAAGGAAGGATGGACAGCTGGGGACTGTACCGGGGAACGCGTTCTAACAAGACCACTCTACCAAGGACACACTCGGTCTTGGTATTCTAGAACATTTTTTCCTCACAACAATTCCTCAACAGCCTGCTACCACCCCCTACACCCACCAGGTCACACAGTTTTGATTGTTCCTTGGTGTCCTATACCCTTTCTTCTTCCTCCCCACTCAGGAACTGCGATCAGAGAACACTCAGGGAAAGTGCAGGCCAGGTAAGGATGGAGAGGATACCCTTGGCTTTGGTGTGTAATTCAGCTCTTAAAAATCAAGACAAAGACTTTCCCTTTGCATTAGAGGATGTAAGTACCTTCAGTGTTGTAACTAGCTAATGACTAGTTTAAAATGACTGCATTCAAAAATCAATAACTCATCTTAGATCCACCAGCCAACTGAAGTCACAAGTCAAGCCACAGCCCGACAGTTGGAAAGACAGATAGATGGACACCATGAATCACAACACATAGGGGAAAAAAAAATCCACGGGCTGTGTGGTAACAAGCACCTGGGAAAAAATCTGAACTATAAATGGCAACTTGCTGGAGGCCCAGTGTGACAAGAGTGCCATTTACACACTGTGGCTTCCTAAGCATCGGGAGGACAGGATTTTTCAGAACTGCTATCGCTCTGCCAGCGTCTCAAAGTAAAACGTGGATAATGATTCCTGATGATTAGGGCAAGGAAGATGGAAAGCAACACTGCTGAAATGTGGTAGACTTAACAGGCTGTTAATCTTCATGTGACTTGCTCTCAAAGAACTGTTTCACAAATTCCTCACCTAATGGGGTTTCATCAAAATCTTACCAGCCCCACTTCCTCTGCTCTTTCTCAGGGTAACACCCAGCTCCAGCCCACCATGTCCCACTGAAGTGGGGGGGACTGAGAAGCACTTGTGTACTCCACAGCCCAGAGGCACGGGGTGGAAAAGACAGAACAAGTAGGGAACCAGACTCAGATGTGTCATCAAAGTTAGAAGTATCACGCCAGAAATTTTAAAATAAAGGGAAAAATGACAATGTGTAAGATTAAATGGTGAGTGTAAGAGAGGGGCACTTCCTCAACTTGATAAATTACACCTATGACAACCCTACTGGCAACAGGGTACTAGATGGTAGAAGCTAGACGCTTTCTCACCAAGATCAGGGGCAGAGCAAGAGTGGTGCCTTTCACACTCCTTTCAGCACAGTACTGGAAGCCCTGGCTAATGCAATAAGACGTGAAAAGGAAAAAAGTTACACAAATTAAGAAAGAAGAAATAAAAGCTGACGTTGTTAACCAATAACGATTGTCTTTGTACAGAATCCAAAAGATTCAAACAGCCCCAAATCCTGAACTCACAAGCAATTATAACAAATTTGCATGATGCATGATTAATATGCAGAGGTCAATTGTTTTCCCATATACCAGCAATGAGCAAATGGAATTTGAAATAAAACCACAGTACCATCCAGGCTCCTGTGACTCATGCCTGTAATCCTAGCTTTCAGGAGGCAGAGATTACGTTGACCAGGGTTTAAAGCCAGCCCCAGGAAAATAATTTTTGAGACCCCATCTTGAAAATACCCAATACAGAAAAGGACCGCTGGAGTGGCTTAAGTGGTAGAACATCTGCCTAGCAAGCACAGGACCCTGAGTTTAAACCCCAGTACCAACAAAAACAAAAAAATGAGGAAGCTACAGAACTGACATAAAGTCAAAGGAAGACATTCTTAGCAAGACAGGGATTAATTTCACTTCATGGGCAAACTCAATGCCACCCCAGGGGATCCAGATGGTTCAGGCTGGGGATCCTACTCTGAGAACCACTGCCTAGGAGATGAGTGTCCACTGTGCCTCAGTTTATAAGTGAAGGAGGTCTTGGAAGTGGGTGCAGAGTCACAGGTGGTGGTAAGTTCAGGTCCCTTGCCAATGTGAAGAAGTAACTTCCATACACGTCAGGCCAGCAGGGCTTAGAAATGGAGGCTGAGCTTGGGGCCACCCTTCTCTACACATCCCAGTCCCCATCACTTGCTTGGCAAACTCAATTCTGGGAGCCTGAGGGCACCAACAAAAGTGGAATGTGCCTTCTGAAGTCATGGGATGGCTGGAAGGCCCCAAGGCTCCCTGGGTCATTGTCTCCACTTTGATTCCAATGCTGACTGACCTGTTCTCAGGTGGGAAGAGAAAACAGGTGTGCCATGTTAAAGAAAAATTATGAAATGACACTTGCTAAAGCACAGCTGGGGAGGCCCGATGGGACCTTGGAGATGACTATTGTAAGAACCACTGCAATGGGGTCCTGCAGAGAGGAAGCTCAACTCCAAACACAGCATGGCCAGGTGGGAATTCATAGCCCAGGAGCAGAGTGGGCGTCAGTGGATGGAAAGCCATTAACAGCAGGGTAAGTGGGATTCCAGCTAAACAGACCTCACAAGATTCTGCTGCAGACAGTCCAAGGTGATTAGAGGTCATCTGGGGCGTGGTGGGGGAGGAGGAGGAAATTGAGCAGATATCCAGGAAGATCAGCTATGAAGAGTCAGGTATGGAGATGTCAGAGCAGGTTCTTTGTTCACACTGGATGTTCACAGACTTGGCTGACAGAAGATTCAGAAGCTTGATGATGGGTTTGCCTTTGTAAATAAATTGGTAATTTTCTTTTGCATCTTTCAATATTTCTTCTTTAGCCTTAGTATTTTGACTGCAATGTCACACAGAGGGATTCTTTTCTGCTCGTGTCTCCTGGATTTGGATTTGGGACATTCTTTGCTACAATTTCACTGAACAGGGTTTCTGTACCTTTATTTGTATCTCAGCTCCTTCTTCCACCCCTAAGATCCTTAGGCTCCATCTCTTGATCACGCCACAGAGGT